AGAGAGAGAGAGAGAGAGAGAGAGAATTATAAATCAGCAGCAGAAACCAGCCAGAAGGCCAACTAAAACTATATGTTAATATAACTGGCGCACGAGTTCATTTGTAAAAGTATTTTCATTGCTGGAGAGGTGAATTGCAGGTAAAATTCAGAGAACATGTGTTTTAGGATGAAGGGAATTTATATGCCCCTGATCTTCCTCCGTGTATTCATTTGGCAGAAGATCTGAAATGCCTACATGTACACAAATTGTCTGCTCTTGGACTTTGTATAAGTAATCATGGGATCCTTCTATTCAAGTCTCCAGCTATCCAACCCAGCCTATTTGCATCAGGGATAGATGAATCTGTCAGTTCTGATTACTTTCTGCGTCTAATATTTTCATTCCTTACATTTGTTCCAGCCTATTTCTGTGCCATGCTGCTATTCTCTCCCTTTTTTAATCCGCATGAAAATTGATGTGCATTTTCTTGCATATTTCTCCCAGAATATACATTTTGCCTAATAGAGATATTTTTGGAAGCTGAATTTCCTTAATATGATTTCTTTAATTTTCTTAATTAGCTTTTTTAAACATGATTTCCATCAACCTGCACCTTTTAGAACTCATTTCATTTTTTAAAACTTCCGTGTAAGTTCTAGCACTGAAAATTAGATGACGTGTCAACCAAGATAATTTCTCCCGCTCCCTTTACAAATAGTTTGCAAGTACAGATTCTGGCTGGCTTTTGTGGACACATCCACCAGTGGGGCTCAGCAGACACATTCCCACACATCTCTGTGGAATCTGGTAAGACAAATACATGAACAATTTAGTAAGCATCCTTCAGATGAATGCTGTAGAAGTTTAGACCTGCTGGTCTTGCATATGTTGCTTGGTAAAATTCAGATATGTATGCATGGTGTTTGCTGGTTTGTGGAATATCATGCAATTTTGGTCACTGTCAACCCATCTTCAGATATTTTACAGGAATGAGGTTGGAGCAATAAATGAAAGAATACAAAGTGATTAGTAGGTTGTACTGTATTTACCCACCAGGAGGTCCTTGAATTCCTTGAAACATACTGCTTTTCATTTGGTCTGAAAAAGATATTGACATCTGTTGGAAATAGCATAAGTCTGTAACTAAAATCAGTCAGTTTTCACACACTTATTAAACAAGCCACGCAGCTACTCCAGTTGCAAACCACTTCCCTATTTTAACATTTCTCCAGGGCATTATATAGACCTGCAGTCTTACAATTTTTCAACATTCCCATAGTGTTTATGACCTCCTTTTCCTCATTTTTTCTTAGATACACTACAGTACCAACATGTATAGCATTTGTTTCAATTCTGTTCTTTGAAATATCAGCACCATTCCCATGCAAAACTATTAACTACTCCTTCCAACATTTCCTTATTTTAGTTTTATCCCAAACCATTTCATCACTTTATTTGCCATGGCCATTTCCAAGATCTACAGAGGGCCCTTCTGGGTTATTGATAGCCAGATCAATAGATTTCTACCCAGATAATACCACAGACTCTAATATGTTCAATACCTCTCATCAAGCTTCAAATCGACAGGAAAAAGAAACAAATGCAATAATGAAATATAGGTAGTAGGAATATAATCAGTGTAAAATGTCTTTTCTGGTCTTTGCTACTGGGACTAGAAGATCTGGTACCCAATCCGGGGGCGTAGGGCTGGGCTAGTACATGCTAGTATGGTTCTTCTGGTGGCCTTATACAGCTGTGGGCAACAGCAATAGCACTAGACATGCTTCAAACCCTTTTCTGAATGTTGCTTTGTGACTGAATTTAGCTGCTATTTAAATCCAACACAATGCCCCAGATCAATTATCCAACACAATGCCCCAGATCAATGCTACAGCTGTCAGCCTTGCCAGGTAGACCAGACAGGAAACACGACCAGATAAGCTAATTCTACTTATTGTAAAGCTACATTAACAGAATCTTGCAAGTCTGGAAGTACCAACTATCCAGCTGTGGGCTATACTATACTATATTATCTGACTGTTCCCTTGGCAGTGTCTCTTCACCCTGTCTCCCAAGGTCTTTCCCCATACCATTACAACATCACAGCACCTACACCAAGCACCATGAAAGCACCAGGTTGGATCCCTCCATCCTCTCCTCTCCTCTCCTCTCCTCTCCTCTCCTCTCCTCTCCTCTCCTCTCCTCTCC